AGCCATCTTGACCGAACAAGCTTGGTCAATAAAGGATTTATTATATGGCTTTCGGGGAAATTTTTCTTGCGGGACACGGCGGGTAGTCCCGAGCGGGCAAGATAGCCCCATCTTGCCCGCTCGGGTAGCCAACCACAGCGCAGGATTTGACTCATCTTGCCCGCTCGCGGAGCTTGCCATATAATAAAGATTTACTGTATAACGCACCTGCACAGCAATTGTTCTGCTCATTAAACCTTTTGTTTAGTGGCGTTCTCGTTGCCGTGGTTTGCTAAAGCTCCCTACTTTTCCTTACAGCACAATCATTTTTACTCCCTGCAAATCAGTGGTCAAAATCCTTTTGAGATAATTGGGGTGGGGGGACGGGAGAGTGTTTTGGGAATCTTGAATCCAGAACTAGAAACCAGAATGGGAACTGAAATTGAGAACGAATTTGTTCTTCTCTCATTGACCCTGGCCTGAGAGGTTTTCTTTCCTCTAAAACCCGTGTATTGCTCATTCTACCTTAGAAAGTATTTCACTCATTTCTCATCACCAGATGAGATCACCAAATAGAGCAAAATTTGATATAACCAGTGCTAGAAACACCAGAAATAAAGACCATGTCAGTTTACCTATGTGTAGAACGTCAGCAGCGCAACGTGGCTTCCATTATAAGGCACTTAAAGTTTCGAATAATCTTTCTGTTACAACTAGGAACCCGCACTCAGTTTCGCTTTTCAAGAAGAGTGCGAGAAGTGATTTGTGGTGAGTAAGATGCATGCAGAGTTAAGTAGGATGTAGTGATAATTTAATAGGTTTATTTATTTAATGTTTTATAAGTCATCAGAAGCATGCTTCTGAAGTCATTCAATCACGTGTTTTTAATCTGAACTTAATTAGACAGTTTGAACTTATTCTATTTCCTTTTTACTCGATGTAAATTAATTCTGAAAAACCCATTTGGGAGAATCAATGTATTGTAATTTAAATTTAAATTTAGAAGTGACCACTTGCCTTGGCAGTTGTGAGCCATAGTGGATTTGAACCTACGACCTCTGTAATCCTTCATGGCCCAGTTGGCAAAAGAAAATGTTTAACTGATACTAGAACTAATTGGCACAGGATTTACATTACAGGATCTGAAGAGATACTGGTTCAAAAAACTCCGTTCTTTCTCATCACATGTAGCTGTTCGAGTCTAGAATTGATGGGTACAAATTGTGCAAAAAATAGTGTACCCTTTCTTGGAGAGTGGTATATATGGATAACTATGACACTGCTCAAGATTAAACCAATGGAAAGTCCTCCGTCTTGAAATGAGATTTGACTACTGAGAGGAAACAATTAAAATTGCGTTTAATTCTGTTCGTAAAACACGACTTGCTCTAGGTATGATCCTTGCAGTCCCCTTTTGCGAGTTAAAATGTACTCATTTTCATGTAAACATGGCATGTTCTTTCCCAGTCTTGGCGCTCACCAACCTCGAGCAGTCTAAAGAAAAAGCGAAAGTGATCGTAGCGTTTTGATGGGCATGGTGGACACCTCTTCATTCTATATTGGGAAATATTATACCACAAAGTTTCGGAAAGTAATTATTTACACTTCAGTTTCAAGGGGATTGAACTGAGCGGAGGAAGTGCCGAGATACCAAGCCTCTCGACGCGAGACACAGCAAGGGGATAGGCCCTTTGCAGCTAAGCCATCACATGACCTATTTTTCATAAAAAAATGGGCTATTACCAAACGAATGCCAGAAATGGAAAAAGCATGTCGAAAATATCAAAATGGCCAAGTTTGAGGCCCCTATCATTAAAGAATGAGATTTTATGACAATTTGAATTTTTAAAGGAATAAGAAGATTTGTATGGAAAGAGTTGTTGGAGAGCAAAGTCTTGCTCTCCAGCAACATTTTCCATACAAATCCTCTAAATTTTCCGAAAATTCCAACGGTCGTATAAACTTACTCTTTAATGCCAGGGGCCTCAAACTTGGCCATTTTGGTATTTTCGATGCACTCTTTCCATTTCTGGCATTCTTCAAGTTATAGCCCATAATATAAAAATTTCTAGGAAAAATTTGGTCACGTGACCCCAGCTGCGAAGGGCCTATTGTGCAGCAAACAGCGAATCAGAGAGAATGATCAAAAACTGATCAAGGCAGAATTTGCATGGAACTGAAAAACAAAATGAATAAAACTTCCGTTTGTATCAATAATAATTGTTTTATTAAACTCACTACAATAATTATGTGTCTAATCATCAACTGAAAGCAGTCCCAGTTCGACTGCATTATTTATCACTTTTTGCTCTATCTTCTTCTGCACTGCTGTCATTTAGTGACGGGCTTGAGCCACCTGTACAGAGAAGCCAAATAAATCACGAGTAAAACAAACTATAACATGACACAATCATCCCAGGCTTGTCGGAAGAAGTAGTTATAGGTTATATTATAAAGGTCGTATGTTTTGCCATCTTGAAGCTAAGCACATTACTAGGTGGATGTCAGCCCTAATTGTTGACAATACGGATTGAGCGCGGTGGCGAAGCTCGACTGCATGCAGATTTTCCCTGTTTGGTCTTGCCGTGGGTATTTTAGCTGGACTACGTCTCGCCAAAATGTGAACCATGGTTCGACCAAACTCCCCGATTAAAAAGATAGTTGATTGAAAAAGAGCTGAAGAACCCTAACCGCTGGTCTAATTTTTAGGAAATACAGAATGGTATTAAGTAATTTACTTTACCTTAAGTACTTAGCGGCGTGTCGTGTGCTTATACCATGATCATATTCATGTTACAAGGGTATAGATCACATTTTGACTGGATAATAAAGATACAATTTCTTATTTGCCAAAAAAAAAAAACGACACTTCCTAGACACTACAAAACTAAAACTTTTGGCTGCAGCGCACATGAAGAGGGGAATATTTACCAGTAAACGCTACTGAGCCGGGACTGTCCTCAAGCTCTGTGCTGCTGTTGCTGCCAGCTGGTGAGCTCCTCTTTCTGTTCATTACTATGGGGGGTGGGGTACTCGCCGGTGAGTTGGCACTGTGCACATTAGTGAGGTCGTCATGATCGTTATGTACCATGTGATATTCATCACCTGATGAGCTGTGCAATGCACTCAGTGAAGAATTGAACGAGTTATCTGTACCATCGGATGATGGAAGATCCACCTGGCGGTGAACTGAAATAACAACATTACCAGTATAAAAACTGTTTCACTGACGGGTATTCTAAGTTAACCTTGAGTGAAAGAAGTTACATATTTCGGACATTCGACGCCCAATAGTCTAAGCTCCCAATCTAATATTGTAATTTAGAAAACAGCCCTAAGAAAATACGCGCGCTGATTGGTTAAAAATCGCGTTTCTATAACTCGACAGAAACACAAACTAGCTCGAGCTGTTGACGTAATGATAGCGCGAACAAAGAGAATTTACATTTTGATGTTCAAAGTAGACAAGTTGTTTCCCTTTATTTCGTCGCGGTGTTTTCTAAAAGAAATAGAAAACATGTCATCCGTGTTTCTATCCAGTTATAGAAACACTCGTGCAAGCCTGCAAATAACAGTCAGTCATCGGACAATTGTCCGGTAAATTTGAGGTTTTGACAGGTAAAAGCTTAGTCTGGTCGGACACTCTGACCGGGCATTTCTGCTAAACGAAAAAATAATTTAATTGGAAATTTGTGGCTGAATATGGAACAAGTTAATTTATTATACTGCCACACAATACTACGCAAAAAGGCTTTGTTATCAGTTTCGTTTTTATTCCATTTCTGAGAAATAATTTTATCACGTCGAATGCGTT